CAACCTGTAGTCCGGGGCGTTTGTCCCGGTAGCCCAGTGAGCTTGTCGCTGCGCCAGTCGCCTGTGGGTCCGTTTGCCCGTCCTGCCGCTGCTTAAGCGCGGGGCCTGTTGCTCCTGTAGTCCGGGCGCTTAGTCCGGTAGTAGCCACTGTGCTCGCCACTCCTGTTGCCCGTGTGTCTGCAGCTTCAGCCGCCGCCTTCTATCTCCTCTCCTCTCACTCTCTCTCCTCCTCCTCACTTGCCCGTTGTGACCTACCACTAGCTTTGCTCATAATTGTGCACTCTAAACTATTTCTTCTTGAACTTGTGCTCAGAATGTGTGGTGACATTGTGATCCACCCTGAGCTTGTACTGCTTTGCCTGCTCTGCTGATTACACCCCACTTTGGCTATGGGGGTGTGTAAGAATGTTATATTATGTTCTAGCCTGTAGTGGGGTGCTCTATAGCGAGTACAACCCTTCTAGGGTTTGCTATTTGTATCCCCATTTCTGCTAGTTCACATCCTCTTCTTTCTTCTAACTTTATCAGCAATGCGTTTAGGGTTGGCGGGAGGAGCATATCGCGCCACAGGTGATAGCCCTCGATCGATCGGCGTCGCCCCACGGTCGCAGGCCAAAAATTCTTGATTCGCTTGCGAATGGAATTACTGGACGACCATCCACGCTCTGCCCTGATTGGCTTGCCCGTTTAAGTGTAATGGCAGCTCCAACCTGCCCGAGCCTGCAATTTCGATCCTGGCACCTATAGCTCGATGTGTCTACCCCACTGCAAATTTGCAGTGTGTGGGCACATCTGGTGTGCCGATCGATGTGCCAGGATCGATGTGAGGCCACGATCCTTGTAAAATAAAAACAGGTGTTGCGTCCTAAGGTCGTAACCATGTATAGCAAGCATAGAGCAGCTGGAAATATGGTCTACACAACCAACAACCCGAAGGCGTACGTAGGAAACACGTTATTCCCTTATCCGTAGGATAACCGCCTAGCAAAACTGGGGAGTGCTCTATGCTAAAAAACGGAGAAGAATGACCTAGGGGGGGCAAAAGGAGTCACCGAGTAGCCAAGAGGAGCGGAGGTCCGAGTGAATGGAAGGGTTTCCGTCAGGGTCAAAGATGAGGAAACGCAGTCGGGTGGCCAGCGTAATGCGAGAGTCCGAGCGTTGCTGTTTCTTCACTGATTGTCGCTTCCTCCGCCAAAGGAATATTTTGAAAGCAAGGAGGAATTGTGCTAGGATGAACTGGAGGATCTCGAAACTAGAAGAGGGGGAAGTCGTTGTATTTGAGGTCACATCGCGCATTCAAGATTGCCTTTTGCACAGGCACCCACCAAAAGGCTCCATAGGGCTACCTGGCCTGCTCTCGAGGTGAGCGGGGAAAAGCAAGAGCTCAGGAGGAGGAGAACAGTGGAGGTGGCGTATGGGGCGACGGAGAAGAGGGCAGAAATAACTGCAGGGGCCACCCCACACAAATAAAAACATGTGGGAGATAGTCTCAGTAGTTGCAGAAGGGCAGAGTGAACAAATCCCTCGATCAGCGGCAAAGTGAACCGAGAGCCCGAAGGAAGAGAGCGGGTATAGAACCGGTACAAGATGTCGCGCTGGAGGCTGGGTTGTTCACGTAAAAAGTCATGGGAGAAGTCGGAATAAGAGGAGGAGGCGCGGGGAGGATGCGGATCCAACGGTGCCGGCGGCGTGATCGAGAGGACGCCTTGGTATAGAGGCGGCGACGGAAGGTCAGCTACACTGGGGCAACCATCCTGGAGGATGTCGAGCCGCGCGCTGAGCCCTGCACCTGTAAAGAAGGGACCTGCAAGCCAGGACCCGACGACATGCACTGCAGAAAGATCACCGATACGGTAGGTGCCAATTCTGATCGATGAACGTTCAATGAGCCGGTTGGGGAGGACACGGTGGAGGGAAGCTGAAAGCGACGACGGAGGCAAGAAGGCTATAACTAGGAGGGCACGGGTGGGGAGGCATCAGAGTCCTGCGAGGGCACGAACACTCCCCTGGAGCTGCCGAGGGGGGAGGCGGAGAGCGGAGGGCTGACCACCAGGGCTTGGGAATGGCACGAATGAGTCCCGCCAGACTCTTCGACCCGAGGAGGATGTTGGCGAGGGGAACCGAAGAAGTGAAGTGGAAGAAGGGGAGGAAGAAGGGTGTTCTGTGGGTGGTGAACAAAAAAAACCTTTCACTGGGGCAGAGCGATGGCACCAAAGGCTATACAGTACTTCAGAACAACAGCTCGATCAAGTGAATTGAATCGAAACAAAAAACAAAGCTTGAGGATTTTCATATAGCAAAAAAGAAAACAAGCAGAACCTTCAGTTTGGAAGGTAGTGTCACGTGACATCTGGTGAATCGAGTGAAACAATCACCTGCTGACACATTGAGTCACAAGCAGAACAGGTCATCATCGTGAATTACAACCCACTATAGACACCTGAACAGTTTTTTGTAAGACACAATTTTCTAACAACCCTCTTCTGCAAACGATAGGAATCTAATTTCTACGCAACCCTTCCGACGTTCAACGTCGAATCTTGTTAATTATAGTTTTTATTCGCTTCATGCATTCCACTATAATGCAAGCAAACACATTGCCAGGAGTTCATACATGCTTGGTAGTTTTTTACACAATCCCACGCGTATTGGTGTTTGAAGGCTCTTCAAAAATACCTATAGCGCCCCTAGGGTTACTTGTCCCTACGGGCTAACAGCTCGAAACTTCAGACTTCTGTTTTTTTCCGTCTCACGTCTCTGGCCGGCGGCAAAAAAGAAACCGATTATGCGCCCTGGCTACCTTGGTTGTCGGTCCCTCCAACACATCCCGAATAAGGGGAACAGGACAGTCAGATGCACCACCATGAGCTTGGCGTGATCCTACGGTCCTTGTCCTTTTCAAGGCAGCCCATAGTATTTCCTCCTCAATTCCAGTTGCGCCCTCTCCCTCTCCCTCTTGGCTGCCAGTGCTGAATGCTCTGCTGCCCTGGCTGCTGGCCCTGACACGCCCTGTGTGGTGAGTCATGAGGGACGCGGAGTGGTGAGTCATGAGGGACGCGACACGGCAGTTGATGCTGCTCCAACCCACAAGGCCCCTATATTCGGGATCAAGGCAGCCCATAGTATTCCCTCCTCAGCTCCAGCTGCGCTCTCTCCCTCTCCCCTCTTGGCTGCCAGTGCTGACTGCTCTGGCTGCTCTGGCTGCTGGCCCTGACACGCCCTGTGTGGTGACTCATGAGGGACGCGGACCAAAGCGGCTAACGCTGCCTCCAACCCACAAGGCCCTATATTCGGATCAAGGCAGCCCATAGTATTTCCTCCTCAGCTCCAGCTGCGCTCTCTCCCTCTCCCTCTGGCTGCCAGTGCTGACTGCTTCGCTGCCCTGGCTGCTGGTCCTGACACACCCCCCAAATGCCAGACATGCACACCATGTGAATCGTGACCCTCCCACTCCATCCTCAAATCCAGCTGCGCCCTCTCCCTCTCCCTCTTATATGTTGTACCCACATCACATCATCTTCCTCAAGGCAGCCCCTAGTACTTCCTCCTCAGTTCCAGCTGAGCCCTCTCCTTCTCCCGCTTGGCTGCCAGTGCCGATTGCTCCGCTGCTCTAGCTGCTGGCCCTGACACGCCCAGTGTGGTCATCGAAGCTACCCGCCCGGGTTGATGCTGCCTCTTGCTGCGCATGGCCTTGATTGCTTCTTTCACACTGCAGGTGGGGAATGAGGAGAGGACAGGAGAAGAGAGACAAGGTAATCATAAAACGAGAAAGGGGAGAGGCGGTTCAAACTGCTCCTGCTGTGCACCACCTTGCGTACTTCTATTCACACTGTAAGGAGGGGAATGAGTGGAGAGCAAGGGTAGCTAGGAGGAGGTGGGTGCAAGGGTGTGAAGAGTGGCGAGCGATAAAATTGCAGCAGTTGTTCTTCGCGTCCCTTGCACACCCACAGGCGTCGATCCTCAATCACTCCCTTGATCTCTGCCCTTTGTCCCTGCCACTTACCTTGTCCAGTAATACTGAGAACCAGCTCACCTGTCTTCATGTCTTTCACATCCATCAAAATACCGATCGTCAATCACCACTCCCTTGTTCCTCTTGCCTCTACGTAATAAACACGTTCTTTCAAACTAGAACGGCTGCTCTCACCTCTTCTTCTTTTGAGGCGCCTCAAAAGTCTTTCAAACTAGAACGGCTGCTCTCACCTGTTCTTCACGTCTTTCACATCCACCAGATATCGATCGTCGATCACTACTCCCTCTTTTTCCTCCTCACCCTCCTCCGTTCCCCCTCCTCTCCCTCTTCCTCCTCATCCCCTTCCATCTCCTCCCACTCCTCCTCTCCCACCCCACCCTCCCCTCCCTCCTCCTCCCTCCATCTCATCTGAAAACTGTACCTCTTCTTCCCCTCCTTTCCCTCCCCCTCCTCTTCCCCATCTCCCTCCTCCACTCCCTCTCCCTCCTGCCGCACCACCTCACCAACTGTACCCAGACCACCCGAGCCAGTTCCAGGCTCGGCCGAACCACCAGCGGAGGCTCGGGAGGAAGCTGCTTCGGCAGAAGTTAGGCCGAGCCTACGCTCCACAGCAAGAGCAGCAGCCGAAGCAGCAGCCATAGCAGCTTGTGCTGCAGCAGCAGCTGAGGGCCATAGCAGCAAGAGAAGCCGGAGCTGCAGCAGGGGCAGTGATTGTCGCAGCAGCAGCACCACCACCACCCCCAACACCACCACCACCAATGCCAGCACCGACTGCTAAAGCATAGCAGCAGCAGCGGCGGCGGCTGCTAAAGCATCACCACCAATACCTGCCAGCAACAGCACCAGCAGCAGCAGCAGCAGCACCGGCAGTAGCACCAGCTCTAGCGGCAATCGCCTTGGCATTCACAATAGCCCGAGCAGCAGCAGCTGCAGCAGCGAATTGAGCCATAGGCGCACCAGTACCCAGCCCAACCACATTCAAACCCATTCCACCCATACCACTCATGCCAATACCACTACCTGCCAGAGCGGGGGGCAGAGCAGAGCCAGAGTGGAGGGGGCGGGGAGCAGCACGCAGAGCTGCAGCAGTGCATGGTGAGCTACTAATGGGTTTGGTGTGTGTTTGATGCGGTTGCAAGGGGGTTGGTATGGGTATGATGCGGTGCCACACCTGGGGTCTGCCAACAAACGCCACCAGGAAAAGCCCCCCCACTATTGGGAAAAGCACCCCCACCGGGGAAGGGCGGGCCTGGAATATGGGCTGTTGTTGAGTGTGGGGGAGAGACAAGTGAGTGGACGGCGGACAGGGGAAAGGATGGGCTAGCAGGGAGCGTGACGGGGAAAGCAGGTGCACCAGCCACCGCCGCCGCTGCAGCAGCACCAGCTTCCTTTCTCTCCCTTTCGTTCTCTCTCTCGATTTGTCTGTCCTTCTCTCGCTCCTTCTCGGTCTCCCTTGCAACTACCTTCATCTCTCGCCCAGTCCTGCCGCACACTTCTTCCTCTTCTCAGCTAGAACCAGCAGTTCCATACTCATGCCCTCCGCTTCTTCCTCCTCCTCCTCCCTCTTCCTCCTTCACCTCCTTCTTTGTTGCTTTCCCTGCCTTTCCCTCCTCACCCCCCTCCTTTTCCATCCCAGATTTCTTGTTCCCCTTTTCCTTTCCTTTTCCTTCTTCCCCTTCACCTTCCCTTTCCCCTCCCCTTCACCCGCTTTCCTCTCCTGTCCTCCTTCTTTCCGCTGCTCCTCCTCTTTTTCAACCCTCCCTCCTGAGAACTATCTTCACTAGAATCACTCTCACTGGAATCACTATCATTGAAAGTTTCCTCCTCACTGCACTCACGCTCCCTTTGCCGCTTCCCATGCCCTCCATCCCCCTCCCCACATCCCTTCCCTCCTCCTTCCCCACAACTTTCTCCTCCAATTTTTTGTCCGTGACTCAGAAATTCGCCCAGGCCTTTCACCCCTCCCATCCTCCCTACCCTCTTCCTGCTTCCCCATCGTCATGTGTCTTACTCTCGTCACACATCTTCTTATTGTCATGCTTATTGTTCCTCTACTATCCTTTTCTCTCCTAGCCTCTTTTTTCCTCAACTTCCTCACCTTTTCCCATCTCCACTGCTTCTCCTCCTCTCCCCATTTTTCTCCTTTGCCTCATTGACTGTTTTCCCTCCCTTTTCTCTCCCCTCCCTTTTTTGTCTCCTCTCCTCTCTTCTCTCATTTTCTCTCCCACTTCTCGTCTCTCCTTCCCTCTCGTATCCTGCTCACTCCTCTCTTTTATCCCCCTCACTCTCCCCCCCCCCTTCCTCTCCATATCGCCCCTTGTCCTTCTCCCTCCTCTCCTTCTCTTCCCATTCCCTCTTCCCTCCTCTCCTCTCTTCCCTTTCCCTCCTCCTACTCTCCTTCTCTCCACTTTCCCTCTCCCTCCTCTCCCTCTCTCCCTTTTTCCCTCTCCCTCCTCTCCCTCTCTCCCTTTTCCCTCTCCCTCCTCTCCTTCTCTCCCCTCTCCTTGTCCCTCCTCTCCTTCTCCCTCTTCTCCTTCTCCTTAATTTCCTCCTCCACCTTCCTCCTCTTCCTCTCCTCGTTTGTATCATGACCATGCTTCTTCCTTCCCTCTTCTGCCCATGCTCCTCCCCATCCAATCGCCCTCTCTTCTCCTTTTGCTCCTTCTCCCCTTCTTTTCTCGCCCCACTTATACTCTCCCCCCTTCTTCTTTATCCCTTTCTCCTGCCTCCTTAACACCTTTATTACCCCTCTTCTCCTCTGTCCTCTCATCCCTTATCTTCTCTTTCCTCTCATCTTTCCTTTCCCCCTCTCCTCCCATCCTTCTCTTCCTCCCTCCTCTCATCTTTTTCTATCATCCTTCTTCTCTTCTTTCCTTTTCCTCCGTCCTCTCCTCTCTCCTCCTCATCCCTCCTCACCTCTTCCATCTCGCACCCCCTTACCCCTCCCTCTTCTTTTAGTCCATCTTATCCCTATGCGAACCACCCACCCTTTCACTTCCACTATCCTTACCAGCTCTCCCTTTTCCTTTCCTCTTCCGTTCTCCTTCCCTCCTCCCTTCCTCCTTCCCTCCTCCCTTCTTCCTTCCCTCCTCCTTTCTCTTTCCCTCCTGCTTCCTCTCCTCGTCCTCCCTTCTCCTCTCCTCTTCCTTTCTCTTTCCATCCTCCATTTCTCCGTTTGTCCGCCTTTCGCTTATCCTCCTCCCGTTTCTTATCATCCTCGTTTCTCCTGAGATCCTCCTTTCTCCCTTCCCCATTCCTCCCCTTTTTCATCCCTCCTCTCCTTATCCTCCTCCCTTTTTCCTTTATCCTCCTCCTTTCGTCCTCCCTTTTCAACCCTTCTCCTATCCTCCTCCTTTCTCCTATCTCCTCCCGTTTCCCATCCTCCTCCCATCTTCTGTCCTCCTCCCTTTTCTCCTATTACCCCTTCCACTTTCCTCTTTCTTTTCATCCCTCCTCTCAATCCTCCTCTCCTCCCCCCGATGACCCACACTCACACCACCTACCTTCACCTCCCCATTCCCACTCTTCTCTACCTCTGCATTTCGCCTCGCCTGTTCCTCCCCTTTCTTCCCATCCCTCCCCCTCCCCACGCTTCTCCTCCTCCTTCCTTTCGCTTATTCTCCCTCCCTTCCTCCCCCTCCTCCTCCTCTTCCCCTTTCCTTCTCCCTCCCTTTGCCCTTATCACTCCCCAAAGCCCGTTTACGGTCCCAATCCCTAGCATTATCATCACCATCACCATCATCATCACCACCACCACCCCCACCACTCCCTTTACCGCCAACTATCCCTCCCTTTCTGGACGATCCCTACTCCCTGTCCCCCTTTCTCTCCCCTGCCACTACCACCACCACCCCCAGAACCGCCACCACCACTGTTGCCCAGCATCCCTGTTGTTACCACTGCCTTTGCCACTCGCTTTACTGCCAGTCTTTCCATCCTTACCACCCTTACTCTCACGCTCCCCTCTCCCTCCTCCCTCACCCCCTTCCTTTCCTCCTCCTCGTCCTTTCTCCTCCATCTCCTCCTTTCCATTCCACTCTCTCTCTGCGCACCACCTTCCCCCCTCTCCCCTTCACTCCTTGTCCCTTCCACCACCTTAGATCGCTCTTGACCTTCCCCTTTCTCTTTTTCCCCCTCTCCCACCCGCGCCACTCCCTATTCTCACACCACCATTCCCACCTTCCTCCTCCTTCTGCTCTTTTCAGCCGATCGAAAATCTTCCTACCTTCCCCCTCTCTCCTTTCCCCCCTCTCCCGCTGCGACACTCCCTATTCTCACACTACCACCCCCACCTTCCTCCTCCTCCTTCCCTGTCTCTTCTGCCAATTGCAACGCCCCTTCTGACTTTTCACTCTCTCCTCTTCCCGCTCTCCTGTTGCTCCACTCCCTCTTCTCACACCACTGGCCCCACCCTCATTCTCCTTCCTCCCTATCTCTTCTGCCAATGCAACGCCTTTCTGACTTTTCCCTCTCTCCTCTTCCTCCACCTTCTCAGCCCCCTCTTTCTCCTCCACTTCTGTTCACATCGGCCTTTTCTCCTCGTTCCCGTGCTGTGTCTACCCCTCTTTCCATTCCTTCCTTACCTTCCCTTGCAACTCTTTCTCCCCCATCTGCTTTGTGGCTGCTGAGGGTTTTCCCCTCCTCCTCTTGCCCCTCCTCCTCTTTCCCCTCCTCCTCTTTCCCCTCTTCCTCTTTCCCCTCCTCTTTCTCCTCCTCCTCCCCTTCTTCCTACCTCCCTTGCTCCTCTTTCCCTTACACCTCCTTCCCCACCTCCTCTTTCCCTCGTATTGTTGCTGCCCCTCATTCGTTGTCACATCAACATCCCTCCTCTCTGCTATCTTTTCCCATGTCTCGTTCACGCGCTTCCCTTCCAATATCCCTTCCTGCCCCAAAAATACAGCTGCTGCTTGCATCTCCTGCCCCTCGTTCTTGTCACATCCACATCCCTCGTTCTTGTCATGTGCACCAACTCCCTCCCCCCTCTCTGCTGACATTTCTAACGTCCTCTCTCGCCTCCTACACTCCCTCTACCCTTTGCTTCTCCACCATCCACCTCTCTCCCCTTCTCCCTCTCCCTCCCAGCACTCACTCTCTCACCCTCCCACACGTCTCTCCCCTTCTCCCTTTCCTTCCCCTCCCTCCCATCACTCCCCTTCTCCCTCTCCCTCCTCAACACTCACCAACCCCCTCTCCCTCTCCCTTCCCCTCACTCCCCTTTCTCCCCTTCCCTCTCCCTCTCCCCTCCCCTCACTCCCCTTCTCCCCCCTCCCTCTCCCTCCCCCGACTCGCCTTCGCCCCCCTCCCTCTCCCTCTCCCTCCCCTGACTCGCCTTCTCCCTCTCCTTCTCCCTCCCCTCACTTCCATTCTCCCTCTCCCTCTCCCTCTCCCTCTCCCCCTCTCTCGCCCTCTCCCTCTCCCCTCTCCCTCTCCCTCGCCCTCGCCCTCTCCCTCTCCCTCTCCCTCTCCTCACTCACCTTCCCCCTCTCCCTCTCCCTCCCCCTCACTCCCAATCGCCCTCTCCCTCTCTCTCCCCTCAGTCCCCTTCTCCCTCTCCCTCTCCCTCTCCCTCCTCTCACTCGCCTTCTCCCTCTCCTTTCTCCCCTCCCCTCACTCCCCTTCTCCCTCTCCCTCTCCCTCTCCCTCTCCCCTCTCCCTCTCCCTCTCCCTCTCCTTCTCCTTCTCCTTCACCCTTTCCCTCTCCCTCTCCCTCTCCCTCTCCCTCTCCCTCTCCCTCTCCCTCAACTCAATCCGGGTTCTGCTATCAGGGCCTACAGCTGCAGCAACAGCACTAACAGCACTAACAGCTGCAGTAACCACCCCAGGTGTTGCTGCCACTACTGATTTTCTACGCGCCTCAAACATAGCAGCAGCACCACCAACACTAACAGCAGAAGCAGCGCAGCAGCACCAGCTGCTGAAGCACCAGCGGCAGCAGCACCAGCTGCTGAAGCACCAGCGGCAGCAGCACCAGCTTCTGCTCCTCCTCCTTCCTCTCCTTCCCCTCCCTTACCCTCCCTTTTCTTACCTCCCTCTCCATCACCTCCCACCTCCACCTCTTCCTCTTTTTTCACCCTCTGCACCCTCCTCATCCGTCCCATAACCAAGCAGCGTATTCAGCACATTCACACCTGCTTCCAACTCATCTGGCTTCTTTGAATGACTCATCTGACCCGCACTCACACCTGCTTCCGACTCATCCGCCTTCTTGACTCGAGTCATCTCACTCACATTCACGCTCGTGTTTATATCATCTGCATCCGGGTTTGCAGGCTTACTAAGATGCGTCACTTCCAGCTTAGACTCACTTCCCCTTTTTTCACCTGCCCCTCTTCACCAGTCCCCTTATGACCTGCAACTTTTTCACCTGCACCACCTGCTCCAATCTCTGCCGGTCCTATTTCTCCTGCCCCCTTCTCGCCTGCCCATTTTTCTCCCTGTGCCCCTTCTACCTGCCCCCTTACAACCTGCCTCGTTTTCATCTGCCCTCTTTCCACAGGCCCCTTTCCCACCTTCCCACTCCCCATCTTCCCCCCTTTCCCTTCCTCCTCTCCCGTTTCTCCCTCACCCAAAGATGACTTCCTTTTTCCCTCATCCCCCCTGTCCGCCTCCTCTCCACCACCCATCTTTTCCACAACAGCCCCTGGCGGAAATGACGTTCAGACCAAAGACCAGAGGAGCATCTAACCACTCCTTGCTAGCCCCGCCCTGCCAAGCGTTCCCTTGCTGCCCAGGAGCAACAATTCGTCCAAGACTGGATTCTCTAGACGTTTTAGAAGCCCTGCTGTCACATGCGGCACTGTTTCTTCCAGCAGGCCTATGGGGGCCACCTGTGGCAGCAGCTACTCTTGCTCTGGCCCCAGCGGCTTCTGAATCTGCAGCAGCAGCTGGGGCTACGACAGCTGCACTGCCAGCAGCAGCACCAGCAGAAGCAACAGCAGCAACAGCAGCAGCAGGAGCAGCAGGAGCAGCAGCAGCAGAGCGAGCAGTGGATCCGGCAACAACAGCAGCAGCACCAAAGCTGGCAGTTGCACCAGCAGCACCAGGAAACGATTCCCCTCACCAGCTGCACCAGGCCCAGCATTTTCCCCAATTGGGAGCATTTCCAAAAGTAGAAACATTTCCAAATCCAGCAGTTCTGTTAAGGAAGAGCATTTGAGCGGGTGAGAGCTATGTGGTAACCCGAGTTGTAACCAAGGGGAGGGAAGGGGCCAAGGGGAAGGGGAGAAAGGGGTTGAAGGGAAAGAGTGCGGCATGTGGGGAAGGATGGGGGGAAGAGATGCTGCTGCGCCAATGGGGGGGAGAGATGCAGCTGCGCCTATGGGGGGAAGGCGGGATACTGCACCAATAGGGAAAGGAAGATGGGGGGTGGGAAGATGGGGGGTGGGAAGGCGGGGGAAGAGAAGAAGTCATGATGCCCTTAGGAGGAAAATGAGAGGATGCGGCTGGTGTGGTGGTAGCAGGAGCATTATCGGCAGGCGCATCAATGTCAGCAGGAATAGCTGTGCCGGCAGGCAGCAGCAGCAGCAGAAATATTATCAGCAGTGGCATTGGCGGCGGTAGAAGGAGCATCAATATCAGCAGGAGTGGCTGTGTCGGCAGCAGCAGCAGAAGTATTTTCAGCAGCAGTGGGAGCATTGGCGGTTGGTGCCAGTGGCATTGTGCATAGCAGGAGCGTTATCAGCAGGGAGTAGTATTGTCAGCAGCAGCAGATGTATTTCCAGTAACAGTTGGCACCATCGACAGTGATAACAGTGGCATTGTGCATAGCAAGAGCATTATCAGCAGAAGAAATAGTTGCGTCAGTAGCAGCACAAGTTTCTTCTGTTGCAGTTGCCAGCACTAACAGTGGTGGCAAAGTATTGCGGGTAGCAGCAGCATTATCAGCAGGAGTAGTAGCTGCGCCAGTAGCAGCCGAAAGTGATGTCAGTCGTTGTGGAAGCATCAACAGTGGTAGCAGGGCATGGTGTGTAGCAGGATCAATATGGCAGGAGTTATCGTGCCAGTAGCAGGAGGAGTAATCGTGTCAGCAGCAGCAGGAGGAATGGTCTTGTCAGTAGCAGCAGAAGTATCTTCAGTAGCAGTGGCACCATGACGGTGGTAAGCAGGAGCATTGTGAATTGCAGAGTCTTCATCAGCAGAAGTGATTGCGTCAGTAGCCGCAAGAAGTGCTTTCAGTAGCTGTGGCAGCATTGACGGATGGTAGCAGCAGCAGTAGCGTTTTCAATAACAGTGGCAGCATCAACAGTGGTAGCAGCAGCAGCAGCAGCAGAAGCACCAGCAGCAGCACCAGCAGCAGCATCCACTGGAGTAGCAGAAACGGCAGAAGCAGTGTCGGGTGCAATAGCTGCATCGACGGCAGTCATGGTAGCAGTATCAGCATCGGCACCAGCATCAGCATCAGCATCAGCATAAGCATCAGCGAGCGCAGTTGTTGCAGCAACAGCCAAAATAGCAGCATCGGCATTAGCATCGGCATCAGCAGCATCGGCATCAGCATCAGATGCAACAATCCCATCCTCAGGTGTCAAATCAGCTGTTTCAGGTGCCCAGTAACCTAGCTCAGGAGGAGCATCTTCAGGTGAAAATTCAGGTGGAGGCTCAGCCTTGGTGTCAGAATCAGCCTTGGCATCAGCATGAACAGCAGGCATCAGCATTGGCATCAGGTGCACCACCCCATCCTCAAACGTCCGATCAGCTGTTTCAGGTGCCCAGTAGCCTGACTCAGGTGAATCTTCAGGTGAATCTTCAGGTGCATCTTCAGGTGCATCTTCCATTGAACCTTCAGGTGAAGGCCCAAATAGATCAGCTATTTGAATCTCACGTGAAGTTTTGCAACTCTCAGGTGCTTCCTGACGAGCCCTCAAATGTAATGGCAGCAGGTAGCTCAGGTGCTTTCTCAGGTGAAAGTTCAGGTGGCTCGCTGAGGGCCTTGCCATGGTGAGCTGTCAGAATCTTCCGATGAGCTGTCCAGGGCCTTCGACGTGAGCTGTCTGAGTGGTCAGCTTGAGCTGTCAGGGCGTTCAGGTGAGCTGTCAGAATAAGGAAAGTAGAAACCAATCTCCTCATGTTTCTCCTCAGGTGATCAACAACCTCCCCCACATGAACCTCCCCCACACAAACCTCCCCCCACGTAAACTTGCGAGCTGGTACCATCCTCCTTCTCCTCAATCCCGACCCCAGCTGCTTCTCCGCTCTCTCTTTTACAGGCCCCACCCCATCGCCTCCTCTCTGTCAGTCATCCTAACTTCTCCTACACTACCCCAATCGCTGGCCCCACACGCTGCTGGCTTCCCTCTGCCGATCCCCTCTCCCCACCTCACTTGCTGAAACCAGCCCTGCTGATTCTCCCGCCGCCAGTGCCGATACAGTAGGCTTACTGTTGGCAGCACCCTGCCAATCTCCTCCATTGACCCCCCCACACACTGCTGGCTTCTCTCTGCCGATCCCTCTCCCCACCTCACTTGCTGAAACCAGCCCTGCTGATTCTCCCACTGCCGGTGCCGATGCCAGCAGGCTTACTGTTGGCAGCACCAAACAGCAGATGCTGACTTCTGAGGCACCTCAAAACCAGCTGCTCCAGCAGGGTTACTATTGGCAGCGCTAGCAGCAGCATATGCCTCAACAACCCTGGCCAAAGAATCTTTTCCTTCTGCCTGTGAGAAAAACGGAGGCAACAACAAGCCAGAAGAACCAGCTGCAGCGGTAGCTGGTGCTGCTGCTGCTGTTGCTGTCTTTGCTGCTACTGCTGATGCCACACTCCTTTTGCCAGAAGTACCAGCTGCAGCGGTAGCTGCTGCTGTTGCTGCTGCTGTCTTTGCTGCTGCTGCTGCTGTCTTTGCTGCTGCTGCTGCTGTTCTCTGATGCTGCTGCTGCTGCTGTCTTCGCTGCTACTGCTGCTTGCTGCTGGTGGTGGTGCTACTGATGCCGCACTCCTTTTGCCAGAACCACCAACAGATGCAGGAAGAACAGCAGCAGAAACAGGAGCAGAAGAAGCAGCAGGAGCAGAAGAAGCAGAGTAACAGCAGGAGCAGGAGCAGCAGCGAGCGGAGGAGAAGCTAACAGCTGACATTAGAGGAACCGAAGGTAGAGGAGCAAGGGCAGGAAGAGGGGCAAGAGGAGGCAGCGGGGCATGGGCAGGGGCAGGCAGAGGAGCAAGAGCAGGAGTGGTCCGCCCCACGCCGGCACCACTGGCCCACGCATGCCATGCTGCTAACATACCGCTGCTGCTGATGATGAGGATGAGGAGGATGAGGAGGAGGAGGAGGAGGACGACGACGGACGAACAGGAGGAGGAAAACGAGTAGGAGGAAGAGGAGGATGGGGCGGAGGAGGAAGAGGAGGAGGAAGAGGAACAAAAGTAGTACCCCAAGCATGAGCGGTTTTGCTGCTGCTGCCGCTGTTGCTGCTGCTCCTGCAGGCAGAGGCATGGATGATGGGAGTCCACATTCACATGCAATGGGTGCATGGGTCCGTCCAACCCAGAGGCAACAATGGACTTTTGAGGCGCCTGAAGAGGACATGGGTCTCTCCACACCGAAGGCAGCGACGACTTCTGAGGCGCCTCAAAAGATGAGGGTCGGTCCACACCTGGAGGTAGCTCCTCCATACCCCCATGGTGATCGGGATGGTGGTGCTGGTCGCGGTGCTAGTGGCTGGTGGTGCTAGGGGTGGTGATGCTAGTGTGGTGCTCGCTAGTGTGTGATAGCGGTGGTGATGATAGTGGTGGTGCTGCTAGTGGTGCTAGCGGTGGTGATGCTAGTGGTGGTTGCAATCTCAGTAATGCCATTGTTGGCGGTGGACGTGGCCTGTGATGTAGCAGGAGCAGCAAGGGCAGCAGCACCACCACCACCACCAGAAGCAGGAGCAGCAGGAGAGGGAGCAGGAGCAGCAGCAAGAGCGGCAGCAGGAGTGACAAAAGCAGCAGCAACAGCCGAAGCAGCAGCAGCAATAGCAGTAGCTGCAAGCAGCCACAGCAGGAGTGGCAGCGGCAGCGCGACCTTAGCTCGTTGAAGGGCAAGAGAAACCACCAGTGCATGGGCTGTGTCCAGCCCTGTGGCCGCTGCTACACACGCCAGAGACACTGGTTGTTGTGCTACAGATGGTGCTAATGCAGCCACTGGTGGCACCACAGGTGCTACAGCTGCTGCAGGTCGCTACAGGTGACCACCACCAGTGCATGGGCTGTGTCCAGTCCTGTGGCCGCTGCTACACATGCCCGAGACACTGGGTTGTTGTGCTACGGACGGTGCTGCTGCAGATGGTGCTGCTACAGATGGTGCTACAGATGGTGCTGCCTACAGATGGTGCTACAGATGGTGCTGCTGCTGCAGCTACAGCCACCACTGATACCCAGGTGCACACAGGTGATGACGGCGGCAGTGACATGACAAGGGGCAAGGGAGGAGCAGCGGGGAGGGCAGCAAGAGCGGGGTGGTAATGGTAAGAATGGCGTCGCTTTTGGGTGGATGAAGAACAGAAACCTCCTCTCCTCCTACCTCCTCTCCTCCTACCTCCTCTCCTCCCCCCCTCTACTTCCTCTCCTCCCACCTCACCTCTCTGCTCCCCTGTGGCCTCCATACCAACATCTTCTCCTCTTCCGTCACCTGTTTTCCACATACACAACCGTCTCTGCCTCTCCCTGTGCTTCCGCCTCTGCCTCCGCCTCTGCCTCTGCTTCTGTCTCTCCCCCTGCATCTGCTCTGCTCCTCCCTCTGCCTCTGCTTCTGTCTCTCCCTCTGCCTCCATCCAGCAGCTCTCCTCTTCCATCACCTGTTTCCAAGTACACAACCGTCTCTGCCTCTCCCTCTATCTCTGCCTCTCCCTCTATCTCTGCCTCTCCCTCTATCTCTGCCTCACCCTCTATCTCTGCCTCACCCTCTATCTCTGCCGCTGCCTCCTCTGCTCCTCCCTCTACCTCTGTCCTCCTGCCTCCTCTGTTACAACTCACCTCTCTCCTCCTACCTCCACCTCCTCTCCTCCTACACTCCACGCTCCTGCTCCTACCTCCACCTCCTCCTCCTCCTACCATCCACATCCTATCCTCTCCCCTCCACCTCCTGTTTTCCTCCCTCCACTTCCTCTCCTCCTTCATCTACTCTCTTCTCCTCCCTTCCTCTACTTCCTCTCCTCCTACCTCCATTTCCTCTGCTCCCTCTGCCTCCATACCAACAGCTTCTCGTGTTTCATAACCTGTTTCCCAGTACACACCCCATCTCTGCCTCACCCTCTCCCCTTCGCCTCTCCCTCTGCCTCTCTCTGCATCTGCATCTGCCTCTGCTCTGCCTCTGTCTAGCTTCTGCCTCTCCCTCTGCTCTGCCTCTGCCACTCCTCTCCCTCTTCCCTCTCCCTCTCCCTCTCCCTCTCTCCTCTCCCTCTCCCTCTCCCTCTCCTTCTGCCCCTGCCTCTCCCTCTCCCTCTCCCACTGCCCCCTGTCTCTGCCTCTACATCTGCCTCTGCCTCTGCCTCTCCCTCTCCCTCCCCTCCCTCTCCCTCTCCCTCTCCCTCCTACCCCTGTCTCAGCCTCTATCTCTGCCTCTCCATCTGCCTCTGCCTCTCCTTCTGCCCTGCCTCTCCCTCTGCCCCCCCCTGTGCCTCTATATCTGCCTCAGTCCATCCCTCTGCCTCTGCTTCTGCTCCTACCTCCACCCCAACGCTTCCTGCAGCATAGCTTCTTCGGCTGCTTGAACTTTGGTCGCTTGTCTCTGCTTCCGCACCAGCTGCTACGCCCTGCTGCTGTTTGCGACTTCCTCTCCCCCTGCTTCTTTCCTCTGCCTCTCCCTCTGCTTCTCCCTCTGCCTCCACCTCAGCCTCTCCCTCTAGCATAGCTTCGCATCTACTATTACTTCTGCCTCTCACAAGCGCTGCTACTGCTACGCCTGCTGCTGCATCTGCTGCTGTTGCGGTTTCTACTGCCACTGCTTCTCCCTCTGCCTCTACCCCAGCCTCTCCCTCTAGCATAGCTTCTCCGTCTGCTCTTACTTCTGCCTCACCATCTGCTGGAAACTCATATTCTTCTGCTCCTGCTTGTGCTTCAGCCTCCACCCCAGCCTCTCCTAGCCGCACAGCTTCCTCGTCTGCTGCTAAGTCAGCTTCTTCTGCTTCTGCTTCTGTTCCCTCCTCTCCTCTCTCCATTCCCATTTCTGCCTTCAGCCTCAGCTCCTGCTGCTACCACTGCCTCAATTTCTGCTCCTGCTTCATATTCTGCTGCTTCTGCAGCTTCCTCCGCCTCTATTGCAGCTCCTACCGCTGCTAACTCTGCTTCGAGCTTTTACACCTGCTTCCGATTCGCCTACTCCTGCTGTTAACTCTGTTTGCAAATCTACTCCTGCTTCTACTTTTCCTCCTCCTTCTATCGCCAACTCTGCTCCTGCTTCTAACTCCCAATCTGTTGCCTCTGCACCTACTTCGTCCCCCAAGTCTGCTCCTGCTTCAAACTCCACTGCTCGGCCTGCTAACTCTGCCTCCAACTCTTCTCCTGCTTCTGTTTCTGCTGCTTCTCCACCCACTTCTGACCCCAACGTGTCCCCTGCAGCTACTTTAACTTCAGCTTCTCCTTCTGCTTCACCTTCTGCTTCTCCTTCTACCTCTCCCACAAGATCGGTTGCTGCCACTTCTCCTGCTTCTGCTATGAACTCTGTTTCTAGCCCTGCTCCTGCTTTCTGATCCTGCTGTCTCTTCACCTACTTGTGATCCAATGCTGTCCCTACAGCTACTTTAGCTTCAGTTTCGCCCGCCTCTGCTTTCTATCTCTGCTTGAAGACGGTTGATGCCTCAGCTGCTGGATCTATTGCTGTATTTGCCACAATGTCAACTGCCACATCAGCTGCCGTCACATCAACTCCCACATGAGCTCGTTGCCACGTCAGCTGCCCCTTCCATCACTGCTGCCACTTCCTCTGCAGCGACATCTTCAAGAACATTCCCGCTTTCACTGTGCCAGCTCACTTCTTTCTCACTTCCCTGCTCTACCTCCTTCTGTTTCATCCTCTTGCTCCTGCTCTAGCTCCCTCTTTTCCTCCTCTTCATCCTCCTCCTCCTCTTCCTCCTCTCCGTGTTTCCCTCTCTTCCATTCCCTCACCTCACCACTCTCGTCATCCGCTTGAGGGGTCTTGGGAGCTTCAAACGCACCCCCTAGCTCCTCCATAACCCTACACCCCCCATAACCTTGAACCGTTTATAAGCCCTTCACTAGCAGCCGCACCAGTAACACCAGCTACAACCATGCCAGCCAGCCGCAGTAGCTGCACCAGTAACACCAGCAACCGCAGCAGCAACAGCTACAGCAGAAGCAGCAGTCGCAGTAACACCAGCAGCCGCAGCAACAGCAGTTACAGCAGCAGCAGGACCAGCAGCACTAGTGAGAAGCAGATGAACAGCATTACCACCACCAGCAGCAGCAGCAGCAGCATCTCTGTTGGCGGGCAGCGGCGGCGGCTCAGAGTCTATCACAGAAGCATCCATCACTGCATGACACGACTCCCACCTCCACCTCATCCGAAGCAGCTGCTTCAGTCACATCACTCGCCACATCTTCCTCTTCCTCCTCCTCCCCTCCCCCCTCTCCCCCATCCCCTTCCTCGTCTAGGTCCCCACCCTCACTCTCCTCCTCTCTCTCCCTCCCCTTGCTTGACCACTTGTCCGCCCGCCCCTCCCCTCCCACACCTCCTCGTATCCGACCCAATCCACATCTAAGACTTCCTGCCTCCTCCTCCTCCTCCTCCTTCCTCTTCCTCCTCCATCTCCTCCCCTTCCTCCGCCTCCTCTTCTCCCACCTCCTCATGTTGCTCTGCAAAAACCTGCTCACCCTGAGCCTGCTGCTGCTGCTGCTGCTGCTGCTGCCCATCTCCCCTGCTGCTGCCTCCTGTTCCTCCTGCATCTGCTGTTCTCCTGCTTCTCCTGCCCCTCCTGCTGCTCCTGCCTCTGCTGCTGTCTCTCGCCCCTGCTGCTGCTCCTCTCCGCCCTGCCGCTGCTCCAGTTCCTCCTCCTGCAGCATTTGGCCTTCCTGCTCCTGCCGCCCCTCTTGCTGCTGCTCCTGCTCCTCTTCCTGCAGCACCGGCTGCTTCCGTTCCTCTTGCTCCTCCTGCTGCTGCTCCTCTACCTCCTCCTCCTCCTGTCGCTCCTGTCGCCTCTCCTGCGCCTCCTGCTCCTGTTTCTCTTCCTTCTCCTCCTCCTGTCGCTCCTGCCACTTCTCTTGCTCCTGTGTCTTTACCTCCTCCTGCTGCTCCGAATGTACCTTATGCTGTGCTGCCCATCTCTTCCCCACACCATCTCCTCCACTTTCTCCTCCTCCTCCGCATGCTCCTCCTTCTCTTTCCTTCTCCTCCTCTTCCCTCTCCTCCTCTTCCTTCTCATGCTTCTCCTCCTTCTCCTCCCTCCTGCTTCTCAACTTTCTCCTCCTCCTGCTTCTCCCTAGCTCTTCATCTGACTACCTACAGCTGTCCCCTCCTCCTCTTCCTTCCCAACTCCCTTCCCGTTCCCTGCATTTCCCCCACTGCCGCGCTTGCACTTAGGTAAGTGCCAGGGCCATTACGCTGTGCCCATGCTTTGTAAAACGAGAAAAACATCCACAGGGGTGTGGGATAGGGGAGGCGGGGAGAAAGGAGGGGAGGCGGTCGGGGAGGAGGTGGGAAAGAGGAGGAAGCGAGGGTTGGGAGCGAAGAGGGGAGAGAGGAGGGGAGCGAGGAGGGAAGGGAAGACGGGAAGGAGGACGGAGCAGAGGAAGGAAAGGAGGCTGGGAGGGTGGAGGGGAAGGAGGAAAGGGAGGATGGAAGAGAGGATGGAAGGGAGGAAGGGAGAGTAGAGGGAGGAGCAAAGGTCGCTTCTGCAACAGGCCACATCTCTATACAGGCGCTAGGAGAAGGGAAGGAAGGGGAAGGCAAAGGAGGGCAGGGGAGAGACTGAGAAGAGAGGGGAGAGGATGAGAAGCATGCGAAGGGGGATGGGAAGGAGGAGAGAGACGGAGACAAACTTTCTTTCCTCTGCTGCCTCTCCTGCTGCAACATCCACTTCTGCCACATCAACTGCCCTCTCAACCCCGTCAGCCTCAGGTGCAGCCACGTCAGCTGCATTGCTCGCCACGTCAGCTGCTTTGCTCGCCATGTCAGCTGCTCTGCTGGCCACGTCGGCTGCTCTGCTGGCAACATCTGCCCCAAAGAGTGCCATACCAGCAGTCAGCTTCAACTTACTGCCCTTATCCAGTGCCACGGATTGCAGATGATGCATCCGAATGGTAACATCTGACTCAGGGAGTGTCACATTAGCGGGCCTCACCTCTTTACCCTTACCCAGAGCCACGGATTGCAGGTGATACATCTGGTTGGTAACACCGTAACTTGGATCAAAAGCGACTGCAGCAGCTGCCACACTTGCGAATTCCTGGTGTAGCTGAAAGGTGACAGGTGGCTTGTGAGACTGAGATTCCGGAACCTGCTGTTGAGTCGGCTCAACAAAAGACGTGCATTCCTGCTGGCGCCCAGAGGTCATAGGTGGCTTGTGCGACTCTACAGCCTGCACTTGCAGCACAGGCGGCTTGTAAGACTGGGATTCTGAAACCTGCTGTTGAGTCGGATCAACAAAAGCTGTGCATTCCTGCTGTTGAGTAGGCTCAGCTGCTGAGCATCTTTGGTCAAAGGTCCCAGGTGCCTTGTGGGATGGCTTTTGAGTCGACTCATGAGTTGGCTTTTGAGTCGACTCAAAAGTCACCTCAGCTGCTGAGCATCTTTGGTCAAAGGTCCCAGGTGCCTTGTGGGATTCCGGAGTTGGCAAAGGCAAAGACAGAAAAACGGTGGCCTCCTGTTTCCCAGAACCCCTCATTTTTGTCCCTTGTGCTACCGCTGCTTCTTCTGTTGACTCTGCCTCCTCTGCTGCCTCTGTCCCCTCTCCCCGTTCTGCCCCCTTTGCAACCTCTGCCTCCTCTGCTCCCTCTGCCCTCCCTGCCCCTCTCTGCCCCCTCTCCTGCCTCTGCCCCCTCTGCTGTCTCTGCTTCTTCTCCTGCTCGTTCCTCTGCTGCCGCTCTCTTTTCAGCCTCACTGTCTGCTGCCTCCCTCTCTGCTGCCTCTCTGTTTGCTGCCTCTCTCCCTGCTGCCTCTCGCTCTGCTGCATCTCTTTCTGCTGCATCTCTTTCTGCTGCATCTCTTTCTGCTGCCTCTCTCTCTACTGCCTCCCTCTCTGCTGCCTCCCTCTCTGCAGCCTCCCTTTCTGCTGCCTCTCTCTCTGCTGTCTCCCTTTCTGCTGCCTCTCTCTCTGCTGCCTCTCTTTCTGCTGCCTCTCGTTCTGCGGCCACCCTTTCTGCTGCTTCTCCCTCTCCTGCTTCACCAGCAGTGATTTCGTTCCTCGCAGCAGCAGCATGACTACTACTAGTGGCAACACCTAGATTGACATTCCCACGAAGATGCCACATCAGCTGCTCCTGTTCCTGATCCATAGGTACTTCCACCACGTCATCATCCTCACTGTTTAGAGCCTCCACGTCATCACCACGATTCTCAGCAATAGCCATGTCATCAGCTGATGCGAAGTCAGTAACCTCTTCCTCTTCCTGCGTTTTCTCCTCTTCCTCCTCCACCCCCTCTTCCTTCTCCTCTTCCTTCTTCTCCAACTCCTCCATCTCCACATTTAGTCCCTCCTCTTCAACCTCCTCTTTTCCTCTTTTTCCTCCTTCTGTTTTTCCTCTTCCACCTCTTCCACCTTATCCTCGTCCATACACATTATCTCCTCCACCTCTCCATCCACTTCCTCCTCCTCCACTTCTTCCTCCTCGCCCTCTCTTCTTACACCACCCTCTCGTTCCCCACTTCCTGCCCCTTTCTCCCTCTTACTCTCCCCTAGTACAGTCAACTCCATAACTCTCCTTTCCTCCTTTTGCCCCTCGTCCCTCCCCCCCTCCTCTTGCTCCTCTTCCCTCTCTCTCTTCCTCGCCTCCTCCTCTCCTCCATGCACTCCCTTCTGCTCTTCCCCTTCGTCTTGCTCCTCCCCTCTCATTTCCTCCTCCTCTTCCTTCTCCTCCTTCCCGTCCCTCTCCTCATCCTCCGCCTGACGCACTTCCCGCTTCTCCCCGCCCTCCTCTGCTTCCTCTCCCTCCAACCCCCGGTTTCTTTCCCAAACTCTTCCCCGTTCTCCCCTGCATGTCCACCAATTCCCCCTGCATCCCCACCCGCTTCCCCAGCATCTTTATCCCCCTGCGCCCCATCTCCGCCCCCCTGCGCCCCTGCTGTCTCAACAAGCGCCCAAGGGGGGCTAGAGTGCGGGGGCACTCGGGTGGGGGAGCGGGGGAAGGGGGGACTTGGGGGGAGAGGGGGTCGGGGGAAGAGAGGGGGAGAGTTACAGCACTGGGGGAGGCAACCATGTTAGGGGGAGGGGAGGTGGTAACTGTGAGAGGGGAGGTGGCAACTGTGTGGGGGGAGGTGGTGACTGTGTGGAGGGAGGTGGTAACTGTATGGGGGGAGGTGGCAACTGTATGCAGGGAGGTGGCAACTGCGTGGGAGAGGGTGACAACTGTTGGGGGGAGGTGGCAACTGTGTGTGGGTCATTATTTAGGGCGAACTCGGCAGGAGCAAAAGGTGACGCTGCAAACATGGGAGAATTAACTGGTACCTGTGGAACAGAAGAGACAAAAGGTGCCAGTGGTGCAGCAGAAGCGACAACAGAAGAAACAGCTGAGCGCACAACATAAGTATCAGGCTTGTTTCCCAAAGCAGCCCGTAATGATTGCGCACCCACCTGACTATCCACTTGACCACCCACATCCACCTGAAACGGCACCTGAGCAGGTGAGGAGTGTGCCCCTGCTGCTTCTTCCCCTCCTGCTTCTCCCCCTGCTGCTTCTGCCCCGCTGCTTCCCCACCTGCTGTTTCTGCCCCTGCTGCTCCTGCCCCTGCACTTGAACCAAGGGCCTCTGAAGTTACACCCGTTACAGTCACAGCCACAGCACCATTAGCAACCCCCTGTGCCCCGTCCACACCTGCTACAGTCACATTCACAGAAGTCACATCTGTATCTGCCCCCTGTGCTACAGCCACACCTGCTAGAGTCACATTCACAGCAGCAGCAGCCATGACAGCCCCCTGTGCCACAATCACATCATGAGAAGCAGAAACCTGCATTCCAGTCACATTTAGTACGGTCACACCTGTGACAGCCTCCTGTGCCATAGTCACATCATGAGAAGCAGCAGTACCTGGCAATTCAGTCACACTTGTAGCAGCGGCACCATTCGCCACAGCCACACCCGGAACAACCACATCTGCCCAAGGCAAGTCAAGAAAATCCGCCTCCCCAAACCCAAAATCCCCTAAATCTTGACCCAAACACCCTTCCAAATCCCCATCAAAACCCTCTCCCAAAACCCTCTCCTAAACCACTCAATTCGCCCTCAAAATCTCCATCCAGCTCTTCAGTAGCGGCAAGCAGACACCTCTCGTCTTCAGCACTCCATTGCACCTCCGCCCACCTACCTGCTGCAGTCCAAGCCAGAGAATCCGCTTCCTGAGGTGTCTCAAAAGGCTTCACATCAGCCCTCTTACCCGCGCCTGTCCAAGCCTTCACATCTGCCTTCTCATGCGCCGCAAGAGCATTCAGTTCACCCAGCCTATCCCCACCTGTCCAGTCCCGAGAATCCGCGCCTCTACCCTCCTGGATGGCAGAATCGGCACCCCTACCGCCCTCATTGACAGAGTTGACGGCTGTGACGCCCTGAACGGCAGAACTGATGTCTCCCCAACTGTCTCTGATACCTTGGCCAGAAAACTCCGCGCCTCTGATACCACTGCCACGACCATTCACGTCTCGAACGCCCCCGCCACCACCACCACCACCAGTGAAGTTTCTACTGTCCACATTACCACTAGTCGGGCCTCTGACAGAGTCATCATTGTGTAACCCTAAACCATTGACAACAGTGCTTCCCGAATCCACAGGTTTAATGTTTGCATTGCCACTACCACCAGCACCACCGCCACCACAACCAGCAGCAGCAACCACATCAGCACAGTTATCAGCACCTGTAATGCCTGTGCCACCGCCGCCGTCCCCATCACCACCACTGCCGCCACCACCACCACCAGCAGCAGCTGCTGCATTGGTCGCATCTTGAACGTTTGTGCCACGATCACCAGCAGCAGTAGTATCGGCACCTTTCAAACCTGTGCCAACACCACCACCAGAGTCATCCGCATATGTGGTGGCCATGGCACCAGAAACCCCACCACCACTACCACCAGCACCCCCAACATCTCTTCCCCCGACGCCCACTCCCACAACACCGTCAACACCAACAACCCTCCCCCAACGCCCCCAACGCCCCCAACGCCCCCAGCGTCCCCAGCACCACCACTTCTAAAGCCCACATCTGCAACAGCAGCGTATCTCACTCCTACCTCCCGAACCCTAGCCTCTGCTGCCTTTTCCGCCTTCACTCTCTCCTTCAGATTCACCTGCTTCAATCCCAGGCGCCTCTGAGGTGGCGAGGTCGACGCCTGAGCTGCCGAAACGGAGGTCTGACCTGGCAGGTGAGCCGCTGACGTGGACACTCTACCGCTGATGAGCTCAACGGTCCCGACACGGTTCGACTTTGCCGCCCGGGGAAGCTTGGCGCGTGGAGGTAGCGGGACAGCAGCGCGTGCTCTTGATCGTGATGACGTGGCATCACCAGCTGGTGCCACGTCAGCTGCCGACTCAGCAGCTGGCCCAGAGCCGTCAGAGAGTGACGTGTGATCGCATGATGCCAGGTCAGCAATAGCGGGGGGGCAAGACTGGATTCGACTGTAAGTATTGATGCTTCTTTTGCTCACTCTCTCTACCTTCACTTCAGCTACAGGCCTCCCTGCTTCTGCCACAGCAGTTGTAGCCGCTACAGCTTCCCTTGCTGCTGCTCCTGATGCGGCGGCAGCAGCAGCAGCAGCAGCGGCTGCTCTCCTTGACCGGGTGAGAAGTTGCGGAGGGGCGACAGGCAGAGAGGGAGGTGACTGCACCAGGTGTGATACTATCGATCCCTCTACTGACCTACAAACTTTGACAGAAACAGGTGATGGGATTTGGGAAAACGAAGCTTGCTGCTGCTGCTGCTGTTGCTGTGGTGCTGCTGCAGGTGTGGCTGCTGCGGTTGTTGCTGTTGCTGCTGCTGCTGCTGCTGCTGTTGTCGTTGCTGCTGTTGCTGTTGTTGCGGTTGTTGCTCCTGTTGCTGCTGTCGTTGCTGCTGTTGCTGCTGTTGTTGCTGTTGCTGCTGCTGTTGCTGCTGTCGTTGCTGCTGTTGCTGCTGTTGTTCCGGCTGTGACTGCTGTTGCTGTTGTTGCAGCTGTTGCTGCTGCGGCTGCTGCTGCTGTTGCTGCTGTTCCTGTCGCTGCTGCTGCTGCTGTTGTTGCTGCTGTGACTGTTGTTGCTGTTGCTGTTGCTGCTGCTGTTGTTGCTGATGCTGTTGCTGCGGCTGTTGATGCTGCGGCTGTTGTTCTTGTTGCTGCTGCTGCTGCTGTCGCTGCTGCTCCAGCTGTTGCTGCTGCTGCATGCGCCGTGCCAGAACCTTTTCAATCAATTCAAGAGGCACCTGCTGTAGCTGCTCGATCTGATGCGGCGGCTGTTGGAACACCACCGGAAACGACTCACATGGCAATTGCTGCTGCTGCAACTGTTGCTGCGTGGTGTGTGTTACAGCATTTGAGATGCGTTCACGAGGCACTTGCTGCAGCTGGTCTATCTGATGCGGTGGCTGTTGGAACACCACAGGAAACGACTCACATGGCAATTGCTGCTGCTGCTGCTGCAGCGCCGGGAGAGGCACGACATTCGAAATCGGTGATTGCTCCATCTGGTGCGGGGGCTGTGTGAAAACCCAACAGGAAACGACTCACACTGTGTTGCTGCTTCTTGTGTGGGGGAGTGATACAGCGTTCGAAATCCGTTCAGCAGGCAGCTTCTGTGGCTGATCTGCCTGGTGCAAGGGATGATGATGCAACACCACAGGGAACGACTCACACGGCTGTTGCTGCTGCTGTTGCATGGGGTGTGCAACAGCAATCCGTTCACGAGGCAGCTGCTGTAGCTGGTTTATCTTCCGCGTGGGCTGTTGAAACGGCACTCGGAATGACTCACACGGCTGTTGCTGCTGCTGCTGCGCGGGGAGTGATGCAGCATCCGAGACTTTCTCAAGAGGCACCTGCGGCAGGGGCTGTGAAAATACCGTTGAGGCTGCCAGTACAGGCAGTAGTGCTGCTGCGTTGGGGTGAAGCGGCAGTTGCAGCACTGCCTGAGTTAAAAGGGTGTTGCGGTTGCTGCCCGCTCAGCAGCAGAACGTTTGGGATTGATTCAAACGGCATCGGATGTGCAGCCTGTGAAAACACGGTGGGGAATGATGACTGACAGGGCAATTGCTCCTGCTGCTGTGTGGGGGGGGGTCAATCGAACGGTTGAAATCGGTTTGAGGGGCATCTGTGGGCAGCCTGTGGGAACACGTGTGGGGGGAACAATGACTGACAGGGCAGTTGAGTCTGCAAACGTGTGGGGTCGAAACGGCAGATGCAGCAGTGTTTGACTGGAAAGGCGCTTGTTGCGGTGTGGGGTGTGACAAAAACGGTTGGAATGTTCAAAAGGCACTGCTGCGGGAACTGTGAGGAAGCCTTCTGCTCAGGGGAATGCAAAAGAGCTTTCTGTTGGGAGAGGTGGAGATGCGCTTTGTTGGGGGAGTGGGAGGAGGTGTAGTGTTGCGGGATTGGATAGGGGCAGCGTGAAAGGTGGCTGGGGGGGTGTGTGCAGGAGACGTTGTTGCTGCGGCAGTTGTGAAAGGTGGTGCTGGGGGGGATGTGAATGGTCTTTTGGGTGGGGGGAGGTGAATGGGGGCCATGCCATTGCATGGAGGGCAGCACCAAGCGCGTGCTGTGGGCGGCTGGAAAAGGCAGGGAGTGGGGCAGGGAGAGAGGGCAGAAAAAGCGGCAGGAATAGAAGAGAAGCAGGGACAGGGAGAGGGGCAATTACAGGGACAGGGGCAGGGGAAGGGGCAGCGACAGGGGCATGAGTGACTGTACCAGCTGCAGGGACGGATGTTGCTGCTGCTGCTGCGCCTGTTGCTGCTGTTGATGGAGCACCTGTTGCTGCAGCAGCTGCCCTCCCAGGTGCTGCTGATGCGGCTGCTGATGCTGTTGCTGATGCTGCATAGCACCAGCTGCTGCTGCTTTTGATGCAGCACCAACTGTTGCGGCTGCTGCTGCTGCTGCTGATCGAGCATCAACTGCTGCTGCCCTTGCTCGAAATGGGTCGATCTGTGAGGCGCCTCAAAAACAGGCTGCTGGTGATTGCGAATCAGCTGCAGCTGCTGCCTGTTCAGACTGGTCGACACAGCTGTAGCCGCCATCACTGCCGCTACGCCCACAGGAGCAACTCCTCCCGCCACTTGCCATACGGCCCAGATCCAGAAACGCCCTACCTCAAAAGAGTTTGGAGACGTTTCAAGAGACTGCCGCTACGCCCACAGGACCTACTCTCCCGCCACTCGCCCATAAACCAGATCACCCCAAAACCTGTCTGACTGCAACACATCGGACGCAGGAAGATTCAGGAGGTCTGATTCTGCCTTGACTGGGCATGGTGTGCGTGCTACTGTCACTGCCTGATCTGCAGCAGTAGCTAGGTTCCCCCTTGCTTGAGCAGCCACCGCAGAACTACTGACTGCTGCCCACCTGCCATTGCTAATGGCTCTGCTCTGCCTGTAATGCCCTTGTGGCTAATGATAACTTTGCCAGGAATTCCATCCTCGTTAGTAGCAGGCTCCACTATTCCAACCGCACTTTCCTCCCTGGGTCCAGGAAAAACAGCCTCGGAATATGCTACAGAACTGACAAAAGAGCTAGGAATAGCGTTGCTAGAGGCAAACGGAGCAGGTAGTGCAGGCGATAGAGTTGTTGCGGATGGTAGCGCAGGAGAAAGTGGAGCAGACGCGAGAGGAGGAGAGACACGAAGAGTAGGAAGAGGCTGATGTGGAGAAGGACAAAGGGATGACAGGTGAGAATTTGAATTTGGAGCAGAAGGTGACAGACAAGGAATGGAAGAAGGAACAGAAGGAGGTAATTGAGGGTTAGGAAGAGGAGGAGGATGTGGAGAACGATGAGAAGGTAGCACAAAATCCACAAAGGCAGCAGCAGCGGCAGCAGTGGCAGCAGCAGCAGCAGGAGGAAGGGTAGCGGGAGGAGGAGAAAAATCAGCAGCAACAGCAGCAGAAGCACTCGGAGCACTTGGGTGCACCACAACCAGCTTCTGTTGAGCAATCTCCTCAATAAAATCTTCCTCTCCAACGCTGTCTCAAAAACCTCCTCTCCCAATGCTACTTCCTCCCTCAACGTCTCATCCCTTAACCCTTCCCTTCCAGACACACCCTCGCCGTTCGACTCTTCTTTCAACTCCTCTTTTTCCCAATGCCTTGCACTAATGCCCTCCTCGTGGGTTTTGACTTCACCAACATTGCCTTCCATCGCTCCCTCTCTGCTTCTCCCTCTGATATTTCCCCTTCTGCTTTTTCCTCCGCTGCTGCTCCCCCTTTTGTTGTTTTCTCCATTGTCGACCCCACCTCTGCTGTTTCCCTCGCTCCTGCTTCCCCCTCTGCTGTCACTCCTGCAGCCACATCACCTACTAGGGCTCCCTCTCCTCCACCAGGTCTTCTTCCCTGCACTCCAACCAGCCCGCGAGGCAGCCCACATCCTTCCCCTCTTCGCATTCCATTCCGCTATCCCTCCCTGTATCCCCATCTGTCAGGCCCTCATCTCTCTACCCCCTCCTTCCAGTGAGACCTCTCAGTGCCAGCCTTGTGGGAGACAGACGCATTCTGAGACAATCCAAATCTATGCCCCTCGTCCCTCTCAACCATTTCGTGGGGCACAGACGCCCTGACGTGTCCTCCCTCGAAACAGGCTCTGCAGCTTGGCTCCCACTCGCTGTGACTTGAAAGGTCGCGGGTTCAAGTCCCGCTGTGCTCGATAAAGCAGCTGTTTCAGTATGTGCTGCCACACCTGGGCAAGTGGAAACCCCTGCAAAAGCTGCTAACGTAGCAGCTTTTCCCGGTGATAACTCAGCCTGTGCTGCTGCTAATGTAGCAGAAGTTTCTGCCAACACAACTGCCTGTGCTGCAGGGTTGGCACCCGTCGCACCTGAAATCACCAACCCCACAACTGCTTCTGCCGCTGCCGCTGCTACTTGTGGCGCTGCTAGTG